CCAGCCAGCGCGGTAACACGCTGTAGCGCAGGGCTCGTGTGACCTCATCCTGGGGCTCTGCCTGCGAGTCTGAAACGTCTCAAGTCACACGCACCATCCAAGGCGGGTGTGGGACGGCAATAGAACAGAAGCGCCGTTATTTAGGAGGACGCAGAGTGTGCCGGACACAGTGAGCTCAGGGCACACCTGGCCCCGGGGTCCTGCAGGCCCCACTGTGCGTGGGAGAGAACAGCTCGGAGAGGCCCCAGGCCCCCACTCGGGAGTGGCTGGGCACCGCGGTCAGCTGCCCTTTCCCTTCTTTCCCAGGGTGCCATGGCCGCCACCTACTTGGCTCTGAACAGAGCTCCGCAGGCCCCGCGGCTGGAGCCCGTGCTGTCGTCCGGCCTGGCTCAGCGCAGGGGCATGAAGAGACTCACGTCCACGAGGCTATAGCGCGAGCAGGCCCTGCCGAGCATCCTGGGCTGTCGGGCGCTGCCTCAGTGCCCACGCCCGACTCGGAGGCCCAGGTGCCTCTGCTCGTTCCACGCTTGCTCGCTCAGCCGGGATCGGATCCAGACCGGTGACCTCCCCACGCCTTGCTGTGCCAGCCTTGCCACCTCTTTACCCCGAGCAAAGCCAGACAGACTCATTTCACCGCACACCACCACGCCCGATGCCTGTAGGGTTCCTTCAGACCCCATAGGTCTTTTACGATCATGGCTTATATTTATAGAGAGAGAGGTTTTTTTCCAATGATAAAGCCAGTAACTGGGTCAGGTTTCCGACACACGCGTGCTAGTGATTCGGGTGGGCGGATGCGCTGACCAGCTTACGGCACAGCCTCCCCGGGAGGGGCTGGCCTCTGCGGTCTGGGGTTGCCGGAAGGACAGGGTCGGCACGTGGCACCCAGAGTAGACGCCAGGTCCCCTCCTAATGATCCAAAGAGCCCTTGTCCCATCGCCCTTCTCTCTGACTGAGGTGCTGGGTGTTCTCTCTGGGTCACGGACCCGCGGGGGGAAGAGCTCAGAACCGGCAGGCGGTGTCTTCGCCTGGGGAGCCTCTTTTCACAAGAATGGCACGTACCTGGGGAGGAGCCAGCGAGAGCTTGTGCCCCCTGCCCTGTGTCCTTGTTCCCCCCACAGCCAGGGCTGCAGGGCTGAGGCTCCATGCTCCCGCGCTGGTTCTAGCTGTGGCCAAGGCCGCCCAGGTTCCCAGAGCGCGTTGGGCCTGACGTCTGGCCGCGGCCTTCCGTCAGCCTCCTGTGCTTTCCCAAAGCAGTGGTTTTGCTGTGTTTGCCTTCCCCTCTCTGGTCCGCGGGAGATCCGTGAGCCCTGACAACCCTGAGCTCAGTCCCTCCCTTTAAGGCGTGCTCTCAGTCCCATGCAGCCGGGAGGGGGCCGGGAGGGGGCCGGGAGGGGAGCCAGAAGGTGGGCTACCAGGGAGCCATGCACTTTGTAGAAACTGTGCTTTTGTGTTGCTTTTGTGTTTCTGTTTTTCACCTGATGTTGCAGTGACATTTAATGTTTCCCTTGGGGTGCGTGCACACAGGAGGGGCGCAGTGCCGAGGGAGGGGCTGTGCGCCTCTTGTTAAATGAAACCGGGACAGGCTCGGCACCACTGCCCGGGCAGGAGGGGGGAGAGCGTGTGGCCTTCGGCGTCCTCCCACTGGCCCCACCGGGGGTGCCCCCAAGCCGGCCCAAGACTCCCCGCTGCCCTCGCTGGGTGCGGGGCACCTGCGGCCCTCAGCCAGATCTCAGTAAGAAGACATATTTCATTGTTCCTTGATCCCCCGTCTCAACCAACTACACCACCTCAAAAAGACAAAAAACAACATGCGGCATTCTGAGTGTAACTCCTTAGCTTGTTCCAGTTGTGTTCAGACCTTAAAATGTAACCTTATTTCAGAAGCTTTTATAATTCTGTGAGCCTTTCTCCCCCCTCAGAGAACCACCAGACGTAAAGGCCGGGGAGGGGGCAGGTTCTTGAACCGGTTTCCCACAAAGCGTCATTAGGCACCTCCCCTATTTTCTTACTAGAAAATGCTTTTCCCCGAGGCCACAAAGGCTTGGTTCACAGCAGTTTTGTTTTAGGTCTGAATTATTTGATCTATTATTAGAAGTTTAGGAAAAACTGGATAGCCCTCAGGTCCCGGGTCTGCCCTCCTAGGAAGGCACCGAGGTCATCACACCTTCCATCTGCCGCCTGGGCCACAGTTCCAGGGTTCCCACGGCCAAGGTGTGCCGCCCGGCGGCCGGGCTGCTTGGGAGAGTCGGAGCTCGGAGGGACGTGGGCCGGAGAGGGCAGTGGCCCAGGAGCGGGCAGGGAGAGGGGACAGCGGGTGCTCCCTGCGCACCACCGCTCCTGCTCGTGCGCTCTCTCGGTGCCACCACGCGCGCAGCCCCACCTGCCACAGCCCGAGAGCCGCAGAACGACCCGGGGCTCACCTCGCACCAAGTTGTGCCCTTAGCGAAGGCCAGGGTGCGGCGGCGGCGGCGGCGGCGGCAGAGACCCTGCTGAACCAACTCTACTTGAATGTCTGTGACATACCTCTGCTTTCTCACCTTATCCAGAGCGCGGTGATACTTGAAACCCTTCCAGAAAGTCAGCCTAGAGACGTCAATACCACAGTTTAAACCCAACTCCAAGGTCCAGTGGAGCAGCCAGCAGCTGTGCCTTCTAAGCAGCGGTGGGGCGTGAAGGAAGGGGTTTTCATTGGCGTCCCCCGTGCGGCGCACCCCTACCGGCCCTGAGCGGCTCCGGGGCTTCACACAGGCGGCCAGACCACAGGGAGTCAGATGGTTGCCCCACAGACCGTGGGACAGTCCCCCCGCCCCGGGATCATAGCCCCACAGACCGTGGAACAGTCCCCGCCCCAGATCATAG